TGGTGACGATAAGCCACTTCGTGTGCGCTATCATTTTCGTTGGCCAGGTCGCTTCTGAAAAAGAGCTATTATAGCAACTTAGTCGGACTTATCTGGTTAAATAAATAAATAAATTTGTTGATAGTTTTAAATCGTTTTTTAAAATAGTTCCACTCCAGGCTAGAAGGCATGAGGCTTCTCGGCCATCTCCCGTTGCTCATGGACTCATCTCCCGTTACTCATGGACTCATCTCCCGTTACTCATGGACTCATCTCCCGTTACTCATGGACTCGTCTCCCTCCCGCGTCTCCCTCCCACAGACGAACAAGAAGACATCTTCCCCGTTCTTCAGAAAAGTAAGTTTGCACCCTGCAGTCGATTTAGTGACCTGAGAATTTGTAACGCGCGGGTTGCCCCTTTAGCCTGCTGGTGGTGCCGGTGGTGGTGGTGATGGTGGTGGCGGTGGCGGCGGTGGCGGTAGTAGCGGCGGCGGCGGTGGTAGCGGTGGTGGCGGTGGTGGTGGTGGTGGTGGCGGTGGTGGTCGCGGTGGCGGCGGCGGTGGTGGTGGTGTTGGTAGCGGCGACAGTGGTGGTGGTGGTGGTAGTGGCGGTGGTGGTGGCAGTGGTGGTGATGGTGGCGGCGGTGGTAGTGGCGGTGGTAGTGGTGGTGGTAGTGGCGGTGGTACCGGTGGTGGTGGTGGTAGCAGTGGTGGTGGTGGGAGTGCCGGTGGTGGTAGTGGCGGTGGTGGTGGTAGCGGTGGTGGTGTTGGTGGCTGCGCTGCTGCACGTGTCTGTCTATAGTCCAGCTCTGCTCAGGCAGCAGCAGCAGCGGTGAGGGTTGGTGGCTCACCGCACACACCAATGTTGTGAAACTCCCGATCCATGGGTCATCGTCGAGGAGGAGGAGTAGGTGTCCTACACCGGCTTGCCAAGATAAGGGCGGTACAGCCCAGTGTGGACTAATCTCCACACGTTCAGATACTGACGAGCACAAGGCAGCAGACATCGTGCTGCTCGCAGCAGACATCGCAGCTATCGCAATATTCACCTGAAGACGACCGCTTGTGTTGCGTTCGAAACGTCGTGATTTTTTGTTGTTGTATTTCTACCTACGTGACTTTTACGAAAGAACCAAAGAGTGAGGACAGAGTGTGTCCCCCCCTCCCCCATCACACGCATGCATTTTTCTCCAGGTGCTCCGGTCTCCTGCTGCGTTAATTGGCCGTTGACACCTTCATATGTAGAGGACCGCAGAGCTTGGAGCAATTGTTGGTAGCGCCCGGCTCCTCGTCGCGAAGCTCGTCTGGGCGCCACGGTGGCTAGGAGATGTTAACTACCTTGCCTGGTGTACAGGAGGTCGTGGGTTCGATCCCGACCCTGACGCCTGCTGCTGTATATTTGGAGTTTGCGTGTCTCTCTCTCATCATCATTATCACGGTGGCGAGGAGATGTTAACTACCTCGCCTGGTGTACAGAAGGTCGTGGGTTCGATCCCGACCCTGACGCCTGCTGCTGTATATTTGGAGTTTGCGTGTCTCTCTCTCATCATTATCATCACGGTGGGGAGGAGATGTTAACTACCTCGCATGGTGTACAGGAGGTCGTGGGTTCGATCCCGACCCTGACGCTTGCTGCTGTATATTTGGAGTTTGCGTGTCTCTCTCTCTCATCATCATCACGGTGGCTAGGAGATGTTAACTACCTCGCTTGGTACACAGGAGGTCGTGGGTTCCATCCCGACCCTGACGCCTGCTGCTGTATATTTGGAGTTTGCGGTGTCTCTCTCCCCGTGGTCGCGTGGATTTTCCTCTGGGTCCGTCGGTTTTTTTTTCTCTCCACATTTAGAGTATTTGGCTGCTGTACATTTCCACATGGTAGGCCACTTAGTTGAGCTAGCATTTGTGATAGCCAGATCGCTTCTGAAAACGAGAACGACAGCTCAGTGAGCCTTACCAGGTAAAGTAAAAAGAATAGTTTTTCATAATGTAGTCTGTGGTTCCTCCTCCTGACGCCTCTGAGTAGCCCCCCCCCGTCTCTATGAGAGCCAGCGAATACCGTGCGGAGATGGTGCAGTAGAGTATTTGAAGTGTTGAGTATTATCACGGTAATTATAGTTGCACGCGTGCCGCGTCGATCCTCTATTGCCACGCAATGCTGATGTCGCTCTCTCGCTGTGCACTTCAGAAAGTCCCGATGAGTTCTACGGCCTCATGGGACGATCGGCTGACATCGGTAAGCGCTTGAGATCAGCACACACACACACAGGGACATGTACACATAGGGACACAAGGACAACGATCCCCCGTATAACCTTAACAGACTGTAGGGGCAAGTGCTGTTAGCGAGCACCTATGAAGGCCGCAACGGTACACGAGGGGGTGGGTAGCCAGCACCACGCCCGACCGCCTTTGTCTCCCTAGTGGTGATGTTTATACACCGCACCAGGTACTCATTTGAGGCTGAGTCGACCTAGGGGATGCCCAGGACCGGTTCAAATAATCGTCACCGGTGTTGGCCGTGAGCGGGAATCGAACTCGGGTCGCCGGGTTCATAGCGCAGCGTAGCGCTAACCGCTACACACGTGCGCGTGCGTGCGCTCTCTCTCCCCGTGTGTGTGTCTGTGTGTGTGTGTCTGTGTGTGTCTGTGTGTCTGTGTGTGTGTCTGTGTGTGTGTGTGTCTGTGTGTCTGTGTGTGTGTCTGTGTATGTGTGTCTGTGTGTGTGTCTGTGTGTGTGTGTCTGTGTGTCTGTGTGTGTGTCTGTGTGTGTGTCTGTGTGTGTGTGGGGGCCGTTGGCCCCCGGGGTCCCTCCCGCCTGCATCCCCTATTCCGTTTACGTTACCCCACCTCCCTATTACTCGCTACGGTTTCGCCGGCATTCGAATGCGACGCCCCTACTGTTACAGCCTCGCGCCGCGCTCCCACGCTGCGAGCATACGTGCGCACATCATCGTCAATCAAACGCCGTGCTCGCAGTATAGCCCTGTGCGGCACGTTACCAATGCGCATCCGTATCCGACATGTAACGAACGTATGCACACACACACACGCCGCTCCGTGCACTCCAACTCCACACCAACTACGCAAGTTATGATCGCGCACCTGTATCACACACGGAGTGAACACACGCGACACCCACTCTTGCGCCGCTCTGCGCAGCGCTCGCCGTCTGCTGGCCGCTTGCGTTATGATCGCGCACCTGGGGTACGCCTATTACGCACGCCGCGAGCTTACGCACACACAGTACCACACGCGTTCCCACACGCAACCCGCGCGCTCAGCTCCGCGCAGCGCTCACTCACGTGGCGAACCACTGTGCACACAGCGCACCCACACGCTCACACCGCACGACAAGATCACGCGAGACCACGCTTCACTATTAATGATTTATTATATGCTACCTGCGAATTGATGTGGAATCAGTGAGTCGACGAGGCTGGCCTATTCCACTAAACCTGTACTTATTCCCTATTTATCGGCTTACGATACCCTACTTCACCTCCCCACTCACTGCTTGGTGCCCGCGGAGGTTCGCTGCTCTCTGCGCTAACAGCGTACCTCGATGCGTCGCACGGACGTCCGGGTCGCTGGCTGGAAGTCCTGCTGGTCCGCTGGCCTGGAGAGAAGGGGCGATTTTCCCTCTGCGCCCCTCTATTTATCCTCCCTACCTCCAAAGGGGATGCTGCGCTGAACAATGGGCTCGTGCACCCCAAGCCCGCGCACGGCAGTCCCCAGGCGCTGTTGATATGCTAATCAGTGTGCTGCGTGCAAGGCGTAAATCCTAATTAATCCCTTACCCTCCCTAACAATAGGGCCTGCGCGCTCAAGCGCAATTATCCCAACCCTCCATGACTATGCGCAACAGCCCCTGTGACCCCGCTATTCATGCTGTCTCGTGCCTCCCGTGCTTGCCCCGTCGACTCGTGGGGGTGTGTGTGGGGGGAAATGCGCCTCAACCGCGGTGGCCGAATGCCCCACGCCGCGACCACACCATATTAAGGCCGGCAGCAGCGCCGCGGTACCACGTAGCACGGGGGAGGTCATCCAATTCCCTGATCGCCGGAAACCGTGAGAATTAATCCCGATAAGGGTCTCTCGGATAAAAACCGGTCGATCAGGTAACCTTCCCTTCCAGCTCTATGGGGGGGGGGGGGGGGATGCGTGCGGGTGTGTGCTTATGTGGGGCGGGTGATGGGGGGCAGTGCGGTGGGGGAAGCCGGGCGGCTCCCTGGCTCGGCAGAGCGGCCCCGTCGCTGTGGCACCACATAGCCCCCCGGGGTGCCAGTCCCCGTCCCGGGTTGACTCGAGCACCTCGCCTGGGTTGCCCCCACGAGGTATCGCCGCGGGGTCCGCGGGATTCGCCCGGCCCTTGTGGCTGGCCTCGGGGGTGGCGGCTCCGTCTCCTGGGGCTCCGGCGGTGGTCTCCTCCTCCATTCCAACGGCTCCCCTCGGCCCCTGGCACCTGCGGGCTGGGGAACAAACTCAGAGGCGGTGGGGTTTAAGGGTCGCCGTCCTCGTCGCCCCCGGCCCCGCCCGGGGCCCCTCGGAGCCCTGGGCTCCGTGGGGCCCATATACTGCGCGAGGCCCCCGGGCACGGGGGATGCGGGTACTCCGGGGTTTCGGGGCCTTCGGGTGACGGGGTTCTCTCTCGCCGGGGCCGCTTTCCACGGTTTTAAGCGGCGGACATTGACCACCGTCTCTCGACCCCTCTCCCCGCCATCAATTAGTACCGTCCAGGGGGAGATCTGTCGCACCACGGTCCAGGGTCCCCGCCAGTAGGTCGTCAGTTTCCCCACCTGCCCGGCCCCGACGCGAGGGGTGTGTAGCCACACCTTAGCACCTGTCAGGAATAAGGGGGGTTCCATGCGGGGTCGGGTGCCCTGTTCCTGCCGCCGATGCGCGGCTTCCCCTTGCGGGTATGCTCGGCCTCGGGCTTCTCGTAGGGTCTCCAACAGGTGTTCCACGGGGCGGCTTCCCTCCGCCGGCTGGGGGGAAGGGACGCCGAATAGCAGATCTGCGGGTAAACGAGACTCACGGCCGAACATCATTAAAAACGGGGTTTGTCCCGTCGACGTGTGTACGGTGGTGGCGTAGGCGAAAAGGGCGTAGGGGAGGTGTTCATCCCAATCCCGTTGATTTGCGGCCGCCATACGTTTGAGTTTCCCCGATAAGGTCTGATTCATGCGCTCCACCATCCCGTTCGCCTGGGGGTGGTACGCTGTGGTTCGGTCCTTCTGGATTCCGAACTCTCGGCACAGTGCCTGGAACAACTCGGCCTCGAACTCGCTACCCTGGTCGGTGAGGACTCGTTCTGGGATCCCGTGCTTAAGTACGTAGTGTTCCACAAATGCCCGGGCCACCACCAAGGCCGTTTTATCAGGGATGGCCACTGCCACGGGGTAGCGGGTGAAATACTCTACTGCGACTAGGATATATCGGTTGCCTCGATGGGATCGCGGGAATGGCCCCTGTAGGTCGATCCCGACCAGCTGATTCGTGCGGCTGACGCGGAACGGCCTTAGGGGTACCTGGTATCGTGCCGGTTTCGGCCCGCACTGCTGACAGGCGCGGCAGCCCTGTACCCAGGCCGCCACGTCTTGTGCCAATTTGGGCCAGAGATACTGGCGACGCAGGGTCTCTCGAGTACGTCGTTCCCCATCGTGGCCCCCGAGTGGGTGGTCATGCACCAGCCGTAGCAGCTGGGGTCGCACCTGGGCAGGACACAGATGCACCCCGGCTGGCCGGCCTCGGTTAACTCCCGTACCACTCCGTTCTGCACACACAACCGGGCATACAAACCGCTCCAGGGTCCTGGTAGGGCGCTCTTTTCCTCCCGCAGTGCCGCCTCCACTGCCGCCAGATCCGGATCTCGCTGCTGGGTCTGTCTCAGCTGCTCGTCGTTTAGGCCCGGGAAGGCGCAGCCGACGTCCTCCTGGATCCGTCCAATCGGGTCCCGAGCCGCGGGTCCCGCGCTTGCCGGGCGGTCGACGGGATCCTCAGTGCCACCTGTGAGCGTTTCCGTGGCGCACACTGCACTCTCTCTCGCTGGGGGGGGGTCAGTGGCCGCGGCCTCTCGGGGGTCCGTTGCCTGCCGGCAGCGTCCCCCCGTGAAACACGGGCAGGCCTCCTCCGCCCTCGTCTCGGCGTACACCGTGGGTCGCCTCGACAAGGCGTCCGCGTTTGCATGCGTCCGGCCAGCCCGATACTCGATTTGCAGGTTGTACTCCTGCAACTGCGCCAACCACCGGGCCATCTGCCCCCGCGGCTCCTTGAATGTAAGAAGAAACTGCAGAGCATAATGGTCAGTGCGGACGCGACATCTCCTGCCGTACAAATACGGCCGGAACTGTTTGCATGCGAAAATCACGGCGTACAACTCTTGGCGGGTCACGCAATAGTTCAGCTCGGCCCCACTCAAGGTCCGGCTGGCGTACGCGATGACTCGTTCCGTTCCATCCTGTACCTGTGACAACACCGCGCCCAGCCCGCTGCTGCAGGCGTCGGTGTCCAAAATAAAATCGGTGGTAAAATCGGGGAAAGCGAGGGTGGGGGCGTGGGTGAGGTGATCTTTGAGAGTGGTGAAGGCCGTCTGGCAGGCCCCCGTCCACTGGTAGGGGTGCTTAGGGGAGGTGAGTTGGGTGAGAGGGCGTGCAATCTCGCTGAATCCCTTTACAAATCGACGATAATAGGTGGCGAGCCCCAAAAATGATCTGGTCTCCGTCAGATTCCTTGGCCGTGGCCACTCCACTACGGCGCGTACCTTCTCCGGATCGGTGCGCACGCCTGCCTCGCTGACGCGATGCCCGAGGTACCCCACCTCGCGTTGTGCGATGTAACACTTACGTGGCTTGAGCTTGAGATGAGCCGCTCGCAGTCGCTGGAACACCTCGCGAAGCCTGGACCAATGCTCAGACAAAGATCTACTGAACACTATCACATCGTCCAAGTAAATCAGGCACTGTTCCCACTGCAAGCCCCGCATCACCAACTCCATCAACCGCTGGAACGTCGCGGGCGCGTTAGTGAGTCCGAACGGCAACACTCGAAACTCAAACAGGCCCATCGGGGTGGTGAATGCGGTTTTCGGCCGATCCTCCTCCGCCATCTCCACCTGCCAGTACCCGGACGCGAGATCGAGGGTGGAAAAATATCGCGCTCCGGCGAGGCTGTCGAAGGTGTCGTCGATGCGGGGTATGGGGAAGGCATCGCCGAGCGTGACTGCATTTAGTTTACGGTAATCGACGCAGAACCGGGTTGACCCATCCTTTTTCGTTACTAGTACCACTGGGGCTGACCAGGGGCTCGCCGAGGGCTGAATTATGTTATCGCGAAGCATGTCCCCAACTGCCTCTTTGATTTGGGCGCGTTCGGGTGCGCCCACTCGGTACGCAGGGAGTTTGATGGGTCGGGCTGCACCGGTGTCAATTTGGTGCTTAACAAGATCGGTCCGACCCACGTCCGAGTCGTGTTCACTGAACACGTCGGCATACTCCCGCAGTAACTCGCGCAGCCGATCGCCCTCTCCCTTAGGTAAATCCGCCCATGGTACATGTAACGCGTCGAGCAGGGGAACGACCTCGGCTCGGGGAGTCGGGCCGACTCGCCAGGCCAGGTCCTGCTCACCCTCAGGACGACCGGGGTCCTCAGCCCAGAGTGCGAACACCGAGTCGTTAGAGTGGCGTGCGTGCAGGGGGTGTACTGTGGCTATCGGGGTGCGCCGTCGCAGTATCGCTGGGGTATTGTGGGGGTTAAACATCCGCATAAACAATCGGTCCCCATCTGCGTTTACCAACGTGGCGGATCCCACAACCCCATACCGTTTTGCCAACTCCGGGTGAGGAGTTAGCATTACCTCCCCTTCCACCAGCGACGTGGCCCCCGTGATCCCCGCCACCAGCTCCCGCAGCCAGTCGCCAGGAGTCACCGTTTCTGTGGGCGTTGTTGCTGGAACCTGTGTGGAGATCACTCGCTCGCCATTATTCTCACAGCTTGTTTGTGTCGGGGCTACGTCGATTTCACCCCCCGGTGGTCCCCTCTCTAGGGGGGCCTTAGTGTTTGACCTTAGCTCTTGTCTAGCTCGGGCGACCTGAGGACAGTCCCTCACTAGATGCCCTCGGCGATCGCACATATAACATGCCCGGGGAGGGGTGGCGGCTCCGTAGTGGGCTCTCTGCCCACTCCCTCCTCCCCCAGTGCGCTGCTGCTCATACTCTGCTCTAAGTCGCGCTATCCTTCCAGTTAGCCCTCCTACCTGTGGAGTCTAGTTCCCCCATCTCGGATCGGATGGTTCTCAACGGAGGATTGCAGTTGGGTCATATTTGTATCTGTTTCCTCGCGTACCTGGGTTACCTGGCCGGAGACATCCTTTATACCCGTTTGTATACCGGCAACCCATCCCGGGGTTGTCTCGCGGGACACTGGAGGCTCTCTTTCCCGGCCCCTTACCGTCCTCGCGAGCTCCTGTTCCTCCTCCTCGTCTTCCGAGAGCAGGCTCGCAATGACGCGCTCTCGTCCCAGCCCCCGGAGCTGCGCGCGTTCGCTGTGAATTCTTTCACACTTACGTGCGCGCTCGACAAGGGCGTTAAAGGGAAGACGTGGGCAGCTATGTCTGGCTGCCACCACGCCGTGCGAGACAGGTACCGCTGGATTTTCTCGGCGGCCAGTTCCTCAATAACATCAGTTGCGTACCCCGGGCGTGCGATCTTTGTTAACTCGCGCACATCCTCGGCGTAATCACGTAGATCTTCGCCAGGTTGGCGACGGCGCGCCTCTAAGGCCGATTTTGCTTCCTCCTCGTCACGCGTGCCGAAACGCTGATCGAGTCGGCGCATCAGCTCCTCTAGCTGTGTCTGTGCGCTCGCGGGTAACGCTTCTACAAAATCGGCTGCCCGCCCATCAAGATTCATATTAAGTTGACGTACTGCCTGCGCGTCCGTCCATCCATTAATTTCCTTGGCCCCTAAGAGATTGCGGGCGAATGCCTTCCACGAAGGGGCCCCCGGGCCGGTAAATATTAGTCTTATTTTAGCGTGAGGTAACGCGGGGGTCCGTACCGCTTCCGACACCAATTTGTGGGGGCCGTTGGCCCCCGGGGTCCCTCCCGCCTGCATCCCCTATTCCGTTTACGTTACCCCACCTCCCTATTACTCGCTACGGTTTCGCCGGCATTCGAATGCGACGCCCCTACTGTTACAGCCTCGCGCCGCGCTCCCACGCTGCGAGCATACGTGCGCACATCATCGTCAATCAAACGCCGTGCTCGCAGTATAGCCCTGTGCGGCACGTTACCAATGCGCATCCGTATCCGACATGTAACGAACGTATGCACACACACACACGCCGCTCCGTGCACTCCAACTCCACACCAACTACGCAAGTTATGATCGCGCACCTGTATCACACACGGAGTGAACACACGCGACACCCACTCTTGCGCCGCTCTGCGCAGCGCTCGCCGTCTGCTGGCCGCTTGCGTTATGATCGCGCACCTGGGGTACGCCTATTACGCACGCCGCGAGCTTACGCACACACAGTACCACACGCGTTCCCACACGCAACCCGCGCGCTCAGCTCCGCGCAGCGCTCACTCACGTGGCGAACCACTGTGCACACAGCGCACCCACACGCTCACACCGCACGACAAGATCACGCGAGACCACGCTTCACTATTAATGATTTATTATATGCTACCTGCGAATTGATGTGGAATCAGTGAGTCGACGAGGCTGGCCTATTCCACTAAACCTGTACTTATTCCCTATTTATCGGCTTACGATACCCTACTTCACCTCCCCACTCACTGCTTGGTGCCCGCGGAGGTTCGCTGCTCTCTGCGCTAACAGCGTACCTCGATGCGTCGCACGGACGTCCGGGTCGCTGGCTGGAAGTCCTGCTGGTCCGCTGGCCTGGAGAGAAGGGGCTATTTTCCCTCTGCGCCCCTCTATTTATCCTCCCTACCTCCAAAGGGGATGCTGCGCTGAACAATGGGCTCGTGCACCCCAAGCCCGCGCACGGCAGTCCCCAGGCGCTGTTGATATGCTAATCAGTGTGCTGCGTGCAAGGCGTAAATCCTAATTAATCCCTTACCCTCCCTAACAATAGGGCCTGCGCGCTCAAGCGCAATTATCCCAACCCTCCATGACTATGCGCAACAGCCCCTGTGACCCCGCTATTCATGCTGTCTCGTGCCTCCCGTGCTTGCCCCGTCGACTCGTGGGGGTGTGTGTGGGGGGAAATGCGCCTCAACCGCGGTGGCCGAATGCCCCACGCCGCGACCACACCATATTAAGGCCGGCAGCAGCGCCGCGGTACCACGTAGCACGGGGGAGGTCATCCAATTCCCTGATCGCCGGAAACCGTGAGAATTAATCCCGATAAGGGTCTCTCGGATAAAAACCGGTCGATCAGGTAACCTTCCCTTCCAGCTCTATGGGGGGGGGGGGGGGATGCGTGCGGGTGTGTGCTTATGTGGGGCGGGTGATGGGGGGCAGTGCGGTGGGGGAAGCCGGGCGGCTCCCTGGCTCGGCAGAGCGGCCCCGTCGCTGTGGCACCACATGTGTGTGTCTGTGTGTGTGTGTCTGTGTGTGTCTGTGTGTGTCTATGTGTCTGTGTGTGTGTGCCTGCTGACTCGCCACAGAGCAAGCGCTGAGTCAGAGCAATGGGAAGGCGAGCAAGTGGGAAGACGGCAGCCTCCACTTACCCATGTGAGTGCTTGTCCCGCCGCGGTTCGAATGCGGACCGCCCGCCCGCCCGCCCGGCCGCTCGAGGTCCGGTTCCGTTTCCAGTTTACAGTCGTATCTCGGTACACGTCGTTAATTCGTTCCAGAAGGTGGTAGGACTTATACCGAAAATGACGTGTACCAAACGAATTTTTCCCATAAGAAATAAAGGGAAAGGAAAGAATCCGTTCCAGAGTATAAGAAATGAAATTGTATATGGCACTTTATACATTCATGGGATTGTATAAAATAATTTAGACACTACTTATTACTAAAATGCATACATATGTTAAAATAAATGCGTAAATAAATTAAGGGTTGTGCACTGAACGAGATCTACTGTACAGGCAGACTGAGGAGTGGCACTTTGTTTCAGTCGTGAACGGGGGGTCTACGCGGGTACACGGTGACTCATCACGACCCATACAAGTTCTCGCAAGCGCGTCGTATTCCAAAGCACGCGACCATGGGGAACAAGAGAGACACGCAAACTCCAAAAATACAGCAGCAGTCGTCAGGGTCGGGATCGAATCCACGACCTCCTGTAGACCAGGCGAGGTAGTTAACATCTCCTAGCCACCGTGATGATGATGATGAGAGAGAGAGAGACACGCAAACTCCAAATATACAGCAGCAGTCGTCAGGGTCGGGATCGAATCCACGACCTCCTGTAGACCAAGTGAGGTAGTTAACATCTCCTAGCCACTGTAATGATGATGATGAGAGGGAGAAAGACACGCAAACTCCAAATATTCAGCAGCAGGCGTCAGGGTCGGGATCGAATCCACGACCTCCTGTAGACCAGGCGAGGTAGTTAACATCTCCTAGCCACCGTGATGATGATGATGATGAGAGGGAGAGACGCAAACTCCAAATATACAACAGCAGGTGTCAGGGTCGGGATCGAACCCACGACCTCCTGTAAACCAGGCGAGGTAGTTAACATCTCACCAAGTCGAACGGTTTGTAAGTCGTAACGCAACGATGATGTCGAGTAAATAAAATGTATGCCACTGATTCTGAAGTGATATATACAGGATGGCCCCCAACGTCAGGCCACACGGTGTTGTTTCATTTATTTTATCACTGCCATTAATTTTTGTTGATTATGTATTCAAGTTAATATTTGACCTCGTATCGTTATTAGTCGTGCATTTTTCTTCCTCCTATTTCGGATGACGATTTTCAAAACGGAAAAGGCAAAATAAACCTCGGCTAAAGACGACAGCGCTCAATTGGTTGTTCACAAGCGCTGAACGAGGGGCAGTGGTAACATTAACACATTCCTGCGGGGGGAGCTGGTAGGAACGTTGGGTTGCTCGGTCAATGGCCAGGGTCAACGGCGGCGTGGTGTATTCCGCAAATATTCCCGACTGTGAGGGCGGGCACAAGCCGGCGTGAGTAGGTTAAACGTTGAGTTTTATAAGGGCACCACGGGGTGACCAGCCCCTCCCCACCCAGCCCCTCCCCACCCAGCCCCTCCTCACCCACCCCACCCAGCCCCCCCCCACCCTCCCCACCCAGCCCCTCCCCACCCTCCCCACCCAGCCCTACCTTCCCCACCCAGCCCCTCCCCACCCAGCCCCTCCCTCCCCACCCAGCCCCTCCCTGCACGACGGACGGACGGACACAATAATCCCCTGTGGGCTGGTGTAACCAGGAGGTTCTTACCAGTGAAGTATGGGAATTGACGGCAGGAACTTCTTGACGGGTAACACACTTTTATTAAATCCTTTAGGTATCACAATACAACGTGTGGTCTCTCTTCTTCCTCCGACACACTCCACTAATCTCGTGTAAGCTCTAGGCCTCTGGCTACACCCGATACACTTGACTCGTGTAGACCCTATGCCTCTGGCTACACACAATATACTCGACTCGTGTAAGCCCTATGCCTCTGGCTACACAATACACTCGACTCGTGTAAGCCCTATGCCCTGGCTACACATAGTACATTCGGCTCGTGTAGACCTATGGCTACACCCACTACACTCGCCTCTGGGTTACACAGAGTCCCGGTCCCCTTAGGACAGCGGGGCTAGGTACCGCAGGGCTCTAGGTCTTCATCCCCGTCTTCCTTCTTCGCTGGTTACACACTGCCCTTACGCCTGTGTGCATCCCCTTTTATAGCCCCTGCTCACGAGGGACGGAGCTGATGCGGCGTCGACGTGAGCGTCGTTCCTTAATGACCCAATCACGACGCACTCTCTCTACGATCCGCTTTCCCCAGCGCGTGTTAACATTACTCCACCAATCACACTGCGCTGCCACCTGATCACTCCCTCTCAGCGCGTCACCGCCCACAGCCAATCGGTACCCCGTAACCCACGACCCCGCGCTGACCCCTGATCCTCCACCGTCAGCGCGCGTCACCACCTACACAGCCAATCATCACGCACTGTGCATACGATCCTTAATCCCAGCGCGTATCACCTCTACATCACCCCCTCCCACATAGCTTGCAGCCGGCCCGGCTGTTAACCTACAACACAACATAACGCAACGCAGTAATAAAGAACTCCACATCCCAGTGTGCCCCGTAACACAACAACAACAACATAACACAACCTTAAATATGAAGCAATATACAGCCCGACGAACAACACAATAAAAGCGAACACCGTAAAACGAACGCGCCAAGTGTCACTGTGACCCACGCAGTGCCGAGGCGCTCCGGCTGCCTCGACTCCGCACGTGGTAGGTTACACAAAGTAGCGCGACCTAGCGCGAGTCCGTCTGGCCGGTCCGTCGTATGGAACGGGACGTTGGCGACCGTCCGGTGTCTCCGGCAGCTCTAGACGGCACGGGTCGGGCCTGGAAGGACCGGCCCCGCCGTGAAGATCCGGCCGCCGGTGGTCGGCAGCAGTCAGTTCCGAGACACCTGGGAGCGGATCAGGCGGAGACATGTGAGGAGCAGGCAAGGACAATTCCCCCTCAGGGTCGTCGGTCACGTCACATGCTCGGCCCTCACGACACAAGGGGAGGCCATACGGAGGCGAGAACGGTTTCAGTCGGGAGGGGTGGACGTACCAACGGCGTTTCCCCCATTTTATCTGAACGCACTGGGGGCGTGCCACCCGCACGACCTCCACGGGTCCCCGCCACGGCTTCAACAATTTAGGCGACGTGGCCAAAGGTGCCTGAGGGCAATGCAGCCAGGCCTTGTCACCTGGTTCCCAATTGTGCACGGACACCTTCCGTGCCCGCAACCGCTCGTTCGCAATTTGGCGAGCCCGCGAATTAAGCCGTGCGGCCTCCCTTGCCTCTGTCAGTTTATGAATATTAAATTTAATATGCTCTGCCAATTTAGAATTAGTTCGTGGTGCGGGCAGACCCAGCTGCGTTTCCATGGGCGGGTCGGCTTCCCGACCGTACATTAGAAAAAACGGGGAAAACCCCGTAGCTGCATGGGGGGCCATTCTATACGCGGCAAGGACCCCAGGGACCTGCAGGTCCCAATCAACATGCGACTCACACACCTGCTGGCACAGCATAGAGGTCAATGTCCTGTTAAGCCTCTCCACCATCCCGTCCGTCTGCGGGTGGTACGGGGAGGTACGCACCTTTTTGGTACCCAACAGGTCGCACACCTCCTGCAGTAATTTACTCGAAAAATTTTTCCCTTGGTCAGTCAGCAAGCGTTCGGGAGCCCCCTTGTCCAGGACGTAGCCCTGGACAAAGGCGTCCGTCACAGCCGCCGCCGACTGGTTGGCGAGTGGCCACGCCATAGGCCACCGGGTAAAATATTCGACCCCCACCAACAGGTACTTATTACCCCTAGGCGTGACCGGAAAGGGCCCCAGAATATCGAGTGCAACGAGCTCGTTAGTGCGCGAGACCTGAATAGATTGCAGCGGTGGATTAGCTGCCACGGGCGGTGGTTTCCGTCTGGCGCACTCAACACAACCCTTCAGAATATTCACCACGTCACCCCCCATTCCCGGCCAATAATAGTCACGCTGAAGCAGGGCAAGCGTTTTGTTAACTCCCAAATGCAAGAGGCGTTCGTGTGCGGCCAAGACAACCTTCCCCCTCACAGCAGAAGGCACCACAATCGCATGCCGCCGGGACAAACTGTCCCATCTCATCAACAGGCCCTGCTTAAGCTCGTAGGAGCCAGTTCGGTCGTGGCTACCTTCGGAACCCTCCGTCTTTCGGCGCAATGCCAGCAGGGAGCTGTCCGCCATTTGGAGACGGCCCCACTCAATCAACGACAGTGAGAGCAGCGAGTCCTGACCCCCTGGGGTAGCGGGACCATCCCCAATTGGTGTGCTCGCGGTCGCAACCAACGCCTCCCTACCTTCCGTAACCGGAGGTTTACAGCGCGCCGATCCCGATAAGCACGCACATTTGTGACAAGGCAACAACCGCGACAGGGCATCGGCATTCGTGTGTCGCAACCCTTTACGGTACGTAGTCGTGAACTGATAGTCCTGGAGGACTTCCAACCACCGCGACAATTGGCCCGAGGGCTGGGCAACCCGTAATGAATACTGGAGCGCCGCATGGTCCGTCCGGACCGTGAAATGACGACCATAGAGATATGGCCTGAATTGTTGTACAAAAAAAACAATGGCAAGTAGTTCACGACGGGTGACGCAGTAGCGCTGCTCTGCCGGCGACAACACCCTGCTACCATAGGCGACCACCCGTTCGACCCCTCCAACGACTTGGGACAGCACTCCCCCAATGCCCGTGTTGCTAGCATCCGTGTCTAGCAAGAAGGGACTCTCAAAGTCCGGATAGCACAAGGGTGGGGCCCTTACCAAGGCGTCCCGGAGGGAGCAGAATGCAGCCTCCTCCTCCGGTCCCCACCGGAACTTCACTCCTTTTGCCGTTAAAGCGTGCAAGGGCTTTGCAATGGTGGCGAAGTGCTCAACGAATCGGCGATAATACGAAGCAAAACCGATGAAACTGCGCACGTCTGACACTGACGTGGGCGTCGGCCACGAACTGACACAGTCCGTCTTCGCAGGATCGGTAGAAATCCCCGAAGAGTCGACAATGTGACCCAAGTACCTCACGGATTTACGAAAAAGATGGCATTTGGCCGGTTTAAACTTTAATTTAGCCGATCGCATTCGCAAGAACACCCCTCTCAATCGCTGGAGGTGTTCTTCGAACGTTTTACCGAAAACAATGACATCGTCAAGGTAAATGAGGCACGTCTCCCACTGCAAGCCCGACAAAACCAATTCCATAAGACGCTGAAACGTCGCAGGAGAGGAGTGAAGTCCCATGGGTAACCGGTTAAACTGAAACAGGCCCCCTGGAGTCCGGAATGCAGTCTTAGGCTTAGACTCCTCGTCGAGTGGCAACTGCCAAAATCCGGACAATAAATCAAGAGTCGAAAAGTATCGCGCACCGGACAATGCGTCGAGAGACTCGTCCATCCTGGGGAGCGGATACGCGTCGGCCACCGAGATCTTATTCAGGCGGCGGAAATCGACGCAAAATCGCAGGGACCCGTCCTGCTTTTTAACGAGCACAATAGGTGCTCCCCAAGGACTGGAAGAAGGCGAAATAATGTCGGCTTCCAGCATATCGTTAACTGCCGACTGAACATGTTCCTTCTCAGCAGGACTCAGTCGGAAGGGATTTTGCCTGACCGGTGCCGCATCGCCCGTTTCAATGTGGTGGCGTAGCAGGTCCGTGCATCCGATATCATACTTATGTTTACTGAAGACATCCGAAAATTCAATCAGCAACCCGCGCAACGCACCCAACTGTAGCGCTGACAAATCGTCAGAGTCCGCGCACAGCATATCAATCCAATCTAGGTCCTCCTTTGATGGTACGCTATTCGTGGGGCTCGGATCAGCCTGCGCAACCAGCCTCTCCTCCGCAGGGACCCGTGCCGCGTGAGCCAGCACGGTGCCCTGCTGAATGACGGCCGGCCGCGCCCCAGCGTTTAAAACCATGACAAACGGATCCCTGTCTGCCCCAACCAAAGTGTGAGCCACCGATAAATCGAGACCTCCAACAGCCCTATTAGAAGGACCCAAAAGCATGGCCTGTTCCGAGGCCTCCTTCCCCCATGGCTTCCGTAACCGGAGGGGAATCAACATTTGTGAACCCGGGGGCACGTGCACGGTCTGTGTTGCTAACGCCTGAATGGTAGCGCACGCCGTCCGAATTACATTAGGGCTCGTCAAAAATGAAATACGGCGACCCGATGGTAGTTCAATGCAACGCTGATCAATGAGAATTTTGATGGGCATTTTCGCCAAAAAATCAGTGCCCAATAGGCAAGGAACCGCCAGGGAAGATGAAACGAAAACGGGTCCCGACAATTTGATATCACCAATGCAAATGGACGCCCTAATCTGACCGATAATGCCCAACGATCCCCCGTTAGCGGCGTAAAATGGCACATCCACCGGAAGAAGCGGACGACATTGTACCGGGAGAATATTATAAATGAGATCCGAAATAATAGTCGCCGATGCCCCCGTGTCCACTAACACCCTGACCTCGACCCCATCAATCGATCCGGTAACGACGGATGAACCCGCTGAGGCAGCCACTATTCTGTGCCCCAATTCCGACCATTTAATGTCTCCCCGGTCCCGGCCGAACCCCCCTCTCCGAACCGAATCCCCGAACTCTACTCGGCTCTCCCTCGTCGCAACGCGACGACCCATACGTGTCGAGTATGCGGGCCAAGCATGTGAGGTGCCGCGACTTGCCGGGGTTTGCAGTGATGACTTGGGGCCTTGGTCGTCGTCCAGCCGAGGTCCCATGGCGCGCTGACGTGGGGCGCGGCAACCGGAGGCCACGTGGCCACGAAGGCCGCAGTTATAGCAGGTGATGACAGTAGTCGGAGATCTCGGTTGCTCCAGCTTGCGGGCCGCTCGCAGAGGCGAACGACCCCCCGACCTCCAGTCCCCCGCTCGTCCCGCGATGAACGCGTCCTCTCGTGGGCTGACGACTTGGGGCACGGTGTCAACCGGACCCGGAGTTGAGGCCACGGCAGCGTTGCAGACGACCCCCTGCTTTCGTTGAAGGACCTCGTGCGCTTGCATGCTCGTGGCGACCCGTAATGAAGAAATATCGGTGTCGTCGGCCGTGTTGATGGGGACCCCCAGGTCCTGCGCCAACTTGAGCAGCTGCTCCAAAACCATCGCATCTTGGCCCTCCTCGTCCATACGAGGGAACGCGGCGTCAGCGAGAGCGAGCAACGCCGTGCGGTAGGCGAGCACGGTCTCCGTGTCCGCCTTCCGTCTTGCGTAGAAATGATGGCGGCACGCCGAGGGAGGACCGTAGACTTTGGCCATGAGAGCCAGCGCATCCTTGAGCGTGGAGCGGTCCGACCTGCGTGCGGACGTGAAGGCCGCGAGCGCGTTGTCGTCCAGCATGGCAGGCAGTGCCCGCAGTGCCGTAGCGTCGGACCAGGCGGACATCTCTTGATGCGCCAAAAATCTGCGCTGAAATTGGCTCCAATCCCCGCCTTCCGCCTTGAATGCTGACAACGTGGGAAGGCGCTGCTGAAAGATAAAGTCGTCCTCCTCCTCGTGCTTCCTCTCTGCCCCCCCGTCGGTGTGTAAGATGGCGGCCCCAGTGGCGGGTGTGTGATGGCGGTCCGCCGCGCGCGTTGGTGACGTCAGCGGCCGCGCATGGAGAACCGCTGCCACGTGGTGATGGCCGTTCCCGCCAAAAGTTGGAGCGGATGAAATGGCGGGAATCGCCAAATCGTTTTGGCGGGAATCTGCAGGGCGACCCTGTAGCACGTCGGCCGCCGTCCCCGCTCCTCCCGACGAGCTGATCTCCGCCAAGATGGACGCGGCGGCGAGCAGCAGCTCCGCCAGACGGGAGTGTGCCTCGCGAAGCACGGTGTCAGTCCCCCGTCGCTCGACCGGCGCCGTCGGTGGATCCTGCCCCGTGGGCAGCTCCTCTTCCTCACCCCCTGATGCCCGCTGGCCCGCGTCGTCGAGGTTGTCCTCGTGGTCAATCCCGTGGGTCCGACGGTTCCTCCTTGTATCCATGCTTGGAGGACCGTTTCACTTCTGACGCCAGTTGAAGTATGGGAATTGACGGCAGGAACTTCTTGACGGGTAACACACTTTTATTAAATCCTTTAGGTATCACAATACAACGTGTGGTCTCTCTTCTTCCTCCGACACACTCCACTAATCTCGTGTAAGCTCTAGGCCTCTGGCTACACCCGATACACTTGACTCGTGTAGACCCTATGCCTCTGGCTACACACAATATACTCGACTCGTGTAAGCCCTATGCCTCTGGCTACACAATACACTCGACTCGTGTAAGCCCTATGCCCTGGCTACACATAGTACATTCGGCTCGTGTAGACCTATGGCTACACCCACTACACTCGCCTCTGGGTTACACAGAGTCCCGGTCCCCTTAGGACAGCGGGGCTAGGTACCGCAGGGCTCTAGGTCTTCATCCCCGTCTTCCTTCTTCGCTGGTTACACACTGCCCTTACGCCTGTGTGCATCCCCTTTTATAGCCCCTGCTCACGAGGGACGGAGCTGATGCGGCGTCGACGTGAGCGTCGTTCCTTAATGACCCAATCACGACGCACTCTCTCTACGATCCGCTTTCCCCAGCGCGTGTTAACATTACTCCACCAATCACACTGCGCTGCCACCTGATCACTCCCTCTCAGCGCGTCACCGCCCACAGCCAATCGGTACCCCGTAACCCACGACCCCGCGCTGACCCCTGATCCTCCACCGTCAGTGCGCGTCACCACCTACACAGCCAATCATCACGCACTGTGCATACGATCCTTAATCCCAGCGCGTATCACCTCTACACCAGTATAACCGAATAAAATAAAACGCCCCACATTTATTTCAGAACAGAAATCGCCCGTCGCGCATTCGTGCGCACGGAACAGTCCGTGGGAACATTTGTCAAATAAATAAACTTTTTTTTTAATTCAATTTTTTTCTTAATAACCCTACGTGTCCTGAATTAACTTTGGGGGTTGGGGGGGTGTCACCCCCCCTTGGCACGACGCTTTACATTCCAGTTGTGCCCACAGGTGACGGCAACGCCTGGCGGTGGGGATGCAGGGGCACGTCCTGCGCTGGAGATGGAGTCGAATTCGAGTGAAACCCCCCCCCCCCATTCCCCCGTGTATCGTCACCGATCGGGTTGTTGTTTGTCATCAATGCGATGTCGCGTGTGTCGCCGGCAACGACCGCCCCAATTTACCCGTCGCCCCTACCCAGCGCTGAGCCAGATCCACACCCGAGCGATCGGTTGCGTGCAACTTGGTTGCGTGCAACCTGGTTGCCACTCGGTTGCTTGCGACTCAGCTGCGTGTAACTTCGCTGCAACTTGGTTGCCACTCGGTTGCTTGCAACTCGGCTACGTGCAACTTCGCTGCAACTTGGTTACTTGGTTACTACTCAGTTGCTTGCAACTCGGCTGCGTGTAACTTTGCTGCAACTTGGTTGCCACTCGGTTGCTTGCAACTCGGCTATGTGCAACTTCGCTGCAACTTGGTTGCCACTCAGTTGCTTGCAACTCGGCTATGTGCAACTTCGCTGCAACTTGGTTGCCACTCAGTTGCTTGCGACTCGGCTACGTGTCACTTCGCTGCAACTCGGTTGCAACTCAGTCGCATGCAACTCGGTTAAATGCAACTTGCCTCCGCGTAATATGGTTGCAACCTGCTTACGTGCAACCCGCTTGCATGCCAATCGGTTGCAGGCAACTTTCTTGCGACTCAGTTGCGCGCCGCTTGCTCTCGTGCAACCGACTCGCCGCTTGGGACGGCCTCGGCTCTCGCCCAATTTGCCGGGACGCGTTTCATTCGTTTCATTCGTTTCATTCGTCACTGTTGCCACACGATGGTGAGGTTGGGTCAAAGCCCCACAAAGCATTTAGCGTAGAACTCCACACTTCCACCCCCACACTCCACCCCCACACTCCACCCCCACACTCCACCCCACACTTCCACCCCACACTCCACCCCCACACTCCACCCCCACACTCCACCCCCACACTCCACCCCCACACTCCACCCCACACTCCACCCCACACTCCACCCCCACACTCCACCCCCACACTCCACCCCACACTCCACCCCCACACTCCACCCCCACACTCCACCCCCACACTCCACCCCCACACTCCACCCCACACTCCACCCCCACACTCCACCCCCACACTCCACCCCCACACTCCACCCCCACACTCCACCCCACACTCCACCCCCACACTCCACCCCACACTTCCACCCCCACACTTCCACCCCCACACTCCACCCCACACTCCACCCCACACTCCACCCCACACTCCACCCCACACTCCACCCCCACACTCCACCCCCACACTTCCACCCCACACTCCACCCCCACACTCCACCCCCACACTCCACCCCACACTCCACCCCCACACTCCACCCCCACACTTCCACCCCCACACTCCACCCCACACTCCACCCCCACACTCCACCCCCACACTCCACCCCACACTCCACCCCCACACTTCCACCCCCACACTTCCACCCCCACACTTCCACCCCACACTCCACCCCCACACTCCACCCCACACTCCACCCCCACACTTCCACCCCCACACTTCCACCCCACACTTCCACCCCACACTCCACCCCCACACTCCACCCCCACACTCCACCCCCACACTCCACCCCACACTCCACCCCCACACTTCCACCCCCACACTTCCACCCCCACACTTCCACCCCACACTCCACCCCCACACTCCACCCCCACACTCCACCCCCACACTCCACCCCACACTCCACCCCACACTCCACCCCCACACTCCACCCCCACACTTCCACTCCACACTCCACCCCCACACTCCACCCCCACACTCCACCCCACACTCCACCCCCACACTCCACCCCCACACTTCCACCCCCACACTCCACCCCACACTCCACCCCCACACTCCACCCCCACACTCCACCCCACACTCCACCCCCACACTTCCACCCCCACACTTCCACCCCCACACTTCCACCCCCACACTCCACCCCCACACTCCACCCCACACTCCACCCCCACACTTCCACCCCCACACTTCCACCCCCACACTTCCACCCACACTCCACCCCCAAACTCCACCCCCACACTCCACCCCCACACTCCACCCCCACACTCCACCCCCACACTTCCACCCCCACACTCCACCCCACACTCCACCCCACACTCCACCCCCACACTCCACCCCACACTCCACCCCCACACTCCACCCCCACACTTCCACCCCCACACTCCACCCCCACACTTCCACCCCACACTCCACCCCACACTCCACCCCCACACTCCACCCCCACACTTCCACCCCACACTTCCACCCCCACACTCCACCCACACTCCACCCCCACACTTCCACCCCCACACTCCACCCCCACACTCCACCCCCACACTCCACCCCACACTCCACCCCCACACTTCCACCCCCACACTCCACCCCCACACTTCCACCCCCACACTCCACCCCCACACTCCACCCCCACACTCCACCCCCACACTCCACCCCCACACTTCCACCCCCACACTTCCACCCCCACACTCCACCCCCACACTCCACCCCCACACTCCACCCCACACTTCCACCCACACTTCCACCCCCACACTCCACCCCACACTTCCACCCCCACACTCCACCCCCACACTCCACCCCACACTTCCACCCCACACTCCACCCCACACTCCACCCCCACACTCCACCCCACACTCCACCCCCACACTCCACCCCCACACTCCACCCCCACACTCCACCCCACACTTCCACCCCCACACTTCCACCCCCACACTCCACCCCCACACTCCACCCACACCCCACCCCCACACTCCACCCCCACACTCCACCCCCACACTCCACCCCCACACTCCACCCCCACACTCCACCCCCACACTCCACCCCACACTCCACCCCCACACTTCCACCCCCACACTCCACCCCCACACTCCACCCCCCACACTCCACCCCCACACTTCCACCCCCACACTCCACCCCACACTCCACCCCCACACTTCCACCCCCACACTCCACCCCCACACTTCCACCCCCACACTCCACCCCCACACTCCACCCCCACACTCCACCCCACACTCCACCCCCACACTCCACCCCCACACTCCACCCCACACTCCACCCCCACACTCCACCCCCACACTCCACCCCCACACTCCACCCCCACACTCCACCCCCACACTCCACCCCCACACTCCACCCCCACACTCCACCCCCACACTCCACCCCCACACTCCACCCCACACTCCACCCCACACTCCACCCCCACACTTCCACCCCCACACTCCACCCCCACACTTCCACCCCCACACTCCACCCCCACACTCCACCCCACACTCCACCCCCACACTCCACCCCACACTTCCACCCCCACACTCCACCCCCACACTTCCACCCCCACACTCCACCCCCACACTCCACCCCACACTCCACCCCACACTCCACCCCCACACTTCCACCCCCACACTCCACCCCCACACTTCCACCCCCACACTCCACCCCCACACTTCCACCCCCACACTCCACCCCACACTTCCACCCCACACTCCACCCCCACACTCCACCCCCACACTCCACCCCACACTCCACCCCCACACTTCCACCCCACACTCCACCCCCACACTCCACCCCACACTCCACCCCCACACTTCCACCCCACACTCCACCCCCACACTCCACCCCCACACTCCACCCCACACTCCACCCCACACTCCACCCCACACTCCACCCCCACACTCCACCCCCACACTCCACCCCACACTCCACCCCACACTTCCACCCCCACACTCCACCCCCACACTTCCACCCCACACTCCACCCCCACACTTCCACCCCCACACTCCACCCCCACATTCCACCCCACACTCCACCCCACACTCCACCCCACACTTCCACCCCACACTCCACCCCCACACTTCCACCCCACACTCCACCCCCACACTCCACCCCACACTTCCACCCCACACTCCCCCCCACACTCCACCCCCACACTCCACCCCACACTCCACCCCCACACTCCACCCCCACACTCCACCCCACACTCCACCCCACACCGCCCACCGTATATATTCTCACCCCGGGGCCTCGACCAGACCGTCTGTTAATAAAATAAAGAGCTTTATAGCTTATCGGATTCCTCCAGGATAGATAAATAAATACAGGGTGCGTACTTTTTGGTTCTTTCGATAATGTCACGTCGGTGAAAAAATAAAAAATATTGTGATTTAAATTTGTATTATTCACCTACGTGACTTTACCGAAAGAACCAATGAGTATAGATCCTTGCAGTCACGAAAACTTCAAATCTAGAAAAATGCAGGGTGCTTCAAAAAAATGTGAACACTTCGGAGTAGTATTTATTATCTCACGCACCCACTCACCCACCCACTTACCCACCCACTGACCCACCAACTCACCCAGTCACACACTCACTCACTCACCCACTCACTCACCTACTCACCCACCCACTCACTCACTCACCAACTCACCCAAACACTCACCCACCAACTCACCCACTCACTAACCTACTCACCCACCCACACACTCACCAACTCACTCACCCAAACACTCACCCACTCACTAACCAACTCACTCACCAACTCACCCACTCACACACCCACTCACTCACCTACTCATTCACCCACTCACTCACCAACTCACCCACTCACTCACCCACTCACACACCCACTCACTAAGAATCAGGGTAAACGCGCAGAACTAGTGGTGGGTAGAGACCAGTCGAAAAAGGTGAGTTTTCAAGACAGGACTTACATATCTCTTGACGCCTCTAATTGCCTTATTACCCAAAGGCAACATTAATTCGTATTTAGTGTATAATTATTATTAACTAAGCTAGCTTGCCATGGTTAGCCGCAATGAATCTCACCACTCGTGGTCCTGCAAACTTGCGTCTTTCGTAGTGCACAGGAGGTGACGATCGCACCGCGTTTCCAGATTTTTCGTTTCAACAAAAAATGTACACCCCAGTTAATCATTTCAAAAAATTTTCTTTTTCGCTCGCACACTTCGCACCGTGACGCGTGCGGCCCCGGGGTCCGACTGTCGCGCAGCCGGAGCGCTTCCGTGGTGAACACACTCACCGGCGGCATTGACCAGGGCTTCCTGTCGGATTCGAATCGCGAACCCTATGCCAACAATGTGTATGTACGCACGTATGCACCGTACGTAGCCGACCGTGCAGAATCGGAGATGCGGGGGAAGGACACCAACCTAAACACAAAAAAGCAGCTCTAAAGAAATTAGTTTCTCAATTTAGAACAATGAGCTTTGCTAAAGTGAGCGAGTCGCCTGCTCTGGTCGACATCATCGTCATCATCGTCGTCGCTGTGTATCAGAGACAAAGGCAGACTCCCCCTAGGGCACGGAGAATCATCGGGGCCACTGCCCCGGACCCCGTGATTAAACTACAAACATTTTTATTTTACCAGCAGGCGTCAGGGTCGGCATCGAACCCACGACCTCCTGTACACCAGGCGAGGTAGTTAACATCTCCTAGCCACCGTGATGATGATGAGAGAGAGACGCAAACTCCAAATATGCAGCAGGCGTCAAGATTCGAGATCGAACCCACGACCTCCTGTAGACCAGGCGAGGTAGTTAAAATCTCCTAGCCACCGTGGTGCTTTGGGAGAGACCCCACCGCGCTACGACATCGCGGTGTCGGATGTAATAATTTATGTTTCGTTTGAAGTCTTTGGGGAATGGGTGGATGGGTGGGGGGGAGTGACCCGCACGGCGTGATTTGCCCCGGGAACCGCACCCCCCACCGCCCCCCCCTCCTCCCTCCCCCCACCTACGGACGGCCCCGAGTAGAGAATCCGTGGCCGGATCGGACGCGAGGTTTTTCAGGCCGCAAGCCGGCATCGTC